AAACTTTGAAAAAATGTACCAGACTGTGCCCAGTGACAACTCTGTAATAGGGGATAGAGTTTAGAGTTAGGGAAGACTGAAAGAGTAAAAGGAAAGAAACAGGGATATTGGAAATTGCTGTAGCAAACAGATTTATGCTATCCTGCTTTTATACAGATTAAATTTCCTTGTAGGCATGGCATGTTTCTTTGTAGATAACACATCCTCTTCCTCCTCCTTAGTTTTATTGATATTCTTTTAGCATAGTTTTAAAATCAGTTTGGACAGCAGAAGATGCTGCAGAAAATGAAGACTAGAAATGCATGGGTTAGGAAATGAAGAATTAAGAAATTAAGAATCAGTGATATCGAAAGAATGATTTGGGGTTGCATTTTTTTTATCTAAGTGCCACCGCTGTTTTTTTCATACTGTGAGCTGTTTTTGTTTGAATTTGTTGTTCTTCTAAGCAACTAAATTTTGAAAATGTTTGTTTTGAATTTAGGACTTGATAAAATTGAATTTCTTCAGAGGCATGAAAACCAAGAGATCTACCAGAAGGCTTTTGAACTCATAGAACATTACTTCGGTGTTGAAGAGGAGGACTCTAGTATTGCACCTCAGGTGGATGAAAGTCAGCAGCAGTTTGTGTTTCAACAGCAGGAGGCTCCAATGGAGGGGTTTCAGCTGTAAACTGTTAAAGTGAAGATGAGCATAAAGTGTAAACACTTGTAGGGTTTTGATTCCCCCACCCCCTGACGTCTTTTCTTTATGGCCAAAGTTAGAGGAAAAGTTGAGTATGTTTTGCAGAAATAGATGACGAAGCAGCTCATGCACTTTTATAATATTGTGTTAGTTACAACTGTTCTTTGTTTTGTATTTGTCTTTTTCATTATCTCATATGTACAGAAAACAACTGTGGGTAATCATGTCTAAAGTAAAGCATTAAACGTGATCTAACATGAACTGTTAAGCTAAGACTTGGTAGGATTTTAGGTAGTGGTTCTGAATTTTTCACGTAGTCTCAAACTGCATATCAGCAATACAGTTACTGACAGTTGAATTTTTGGCAGTAGGCTTGACTTGCCCAGTCTCTATCAAATCTACCTCTTGTATTGAAGCAAAAACATTGCTTCAGAACTAAGGCATGAAATAAAGATGAGCTTGTAAGAAGCTGAATTGGAATGTGAAAAATATTTATTTAAATTGTGAAACTTTTATGCATTACGTACTTTACAATACACTGTTGGAATTTATTTATAAAATGTATTTAAAGACATAATAGATATACATATATAATGCTGATTACCTAATATAATATTGAACATACGAAAAAGTTTTTTCGGAATTGTGTGGGAAGCAGACTGTTTTAGAGGCTTTCAAATTGAAATCAGCAGAGAGCTTGCTGGTCATTTGATGTTTGCTCTGTAATTAAAGCTGCTAAATGGCATTAAAAGTCAGCCACAAACACAGTACTTTGCTGTGGAAGCAGTTGCTGTAGTTACCACAAGAATGCTGTGATATGAATGACAGAGATGGTGATTTGCACAAATCGCCAAGCAGATGGTTTACAGCTGTCTCCAGTCAAAGTGTGGTAACACCACTTTATTTTGAGAAACATTGCAATGTTTGCCTTTCTAGTACAGTAGCTGCTTAGAAGTTTTGATAGCAGGGGGTGTTTTTTGACCAAATATGCTATCGCCACTTGAATTGTTCTTTAACTAACTCGGTTTTCTTTTGGTAAGAGAATAGGAATACTGCAGTGAAGAATACAAAGCAAATCACTCCTTTCCGGTTGAAGGAAAAGTTTGTTGTACTGTAAGTAGCATTAAGTGTGTGGGCATCAAAACTAATTAGAGGTTACTATCATCTAAATATTTAGGCTCTACAATATACAGTGTTTGCTGTTAAACACTAAAAGAAATAGGGTTCTAATATTTACATTAACAATTTTGAATACTGAAAAATTTATGCTCTGCTTGGACTTGCATATAAGTAGCGTTTCTGGCATATTAGTAGTATATCTTATTTGGATAAATTTATACTTTGGGTTAACTCTAAAGTATGAGGGGGGTTTTATTTATATTTTTTTTTACCTGTAATTCATGAATTAGCATCAAACTCCTGGGTTAAGTGAAATCCTTGACATGAGAGCATTTCATTCTTCATAAAAAGCTGCAATTTAAACTTCACATTACTTACCCCATGGCACTGTGCTTGTCACTAAACAATATTTTAATGCACTGAAAAATACAGGTTAAAGGTGGTATCATTTACAGTACCATTTTATATTTAGAAATTTTCTTACATGCAAGTTAAGATTCTAAGATGTTTCACTTTGATGTTACAGCAATATATACTATATTGTAATTGAATGTGGGACTTGAAGTGGATTTTCTAAGATTAATGGTCAGTTTTGACTAAGATGTAACTGAGAGGGAAGAAACCTCTTTTTGAAGTCTTTGTAGTGGAAGATAGAAGTATAAGAAGTGTATATAGGAGTGCTGTTACTTTATGAACTCTGACTAACGAGATATTTTAGCAAATGACACTTTAAACCTAGATTTGTACAGCATACAGCAGTTTTGAATAGTGTGATAATACTGAGTACAGCTGCCAAATTTTCATATAATGTTACATGATTGTATTTGTGCCCTTTTTACTGTCATAGTTTTAGGTTTTCATATACTGACCTTCCTTCCTTCCTTTCCTCCCCGCATCTGTTCTAAGTACAGGGTAACAGTCATGGAAACCTACCAGGATTATCAGTAAATGCTGAATTTCAGTGTTCTTCTAGTGTAAGAAAATTATTCAGGTAACAGGGTATTCCATTGTATCGAACAACCTTGTTTTGATAATATTACATAACCAGCTGTGCCTGCTTTTTTATTTGGAGAACCCTGTAAAAACTGCATTTATAAGCCTCTCCAAACCAAATCTGAACTATAAAAATACCAATTAAAAGACTTGAAAATTAAGAAAATAGGGGACATTTAAAGTATTATATTTGTTTTGAAAGAATGTTTTCAGTTTTGTGGATATATTCTGTATGTGTGAATAGTTAGTAACTGCACTTTACACATCTAGATAAACTATATTTCATGCCTCTGATACATTTAAATGTAACAGTTTAAAAGGGAACTAAAATTGATGGTCTTTGGCTAACGAAAACATTATTTAAACGCAGCATTTGGTTTACCCTAAAATTCTTAACAATGAAAATTCTTCTTTAAAGAAGAAAACATACGGGATGGCCTCTCCTGTTGTATCACTGGGTTTACATCACACTTTAAAAGCACATAAATGAACAATATAAAACCACAGATGATGACTTTAAAGTCGGCTTTGGCGTAGTCATTTGCAGGTAGGGGCATGAATATGATGTTGGCTAAACAGACGAAACCAGTGTGGATTAAAAAATGAGAGAAGAAGATCTCTTTTTGAGTTTGGCATTTTATATGGAATCTGAAGTGCCCCATCAATTGTTAAGCTGTTAAAAAATACAGGGTTTTGTGGTTTTGGTTTTTATTAAAAGGGTACCATTTGTTTTGCTTAAATGTGAATACTAACTAGCTAATCTATGCAACTATGCAAAGCATAAGATTTTTTTTTTAGTTCCCTGCTGTTGATACACTGAATCATATCTAATTTTTTTCATCATTGCACTTTTGTCTGAGGACTGGTTCATACAGCTTTTTCATTTTCTAGTATTTGCTTTAAACACTGTTGCTAGCAGCAATCAGAAAATAGTAATAATGTTGGCACAGAAATAAGTTAGCTGTAGGGCAAGTTTGCAACTGGAAAATATTGTTGGGTCTGTCTTTAAAAAAAAAAAAATAGAAAAGATGCACTATTGTCTTTCCTCCACGGTTAGTTCTCAGTTGGCTTAAATTTATAAAATTGTACACTGAGGATTTTTGTAATAGGTCTGCCAGTTGATCTGTGAAGCTTAACTGTGACCTCAAGAGTTCACTGAGATCTGGAATGAGAAATTTCAGTTACTTACGACACAATATCTTCATATAATGTGTGGAAGCTAAAATACCTATACTAAGTTCAGATAGTAATAGTGCATCTTTAAATCCAGGCCAAAGGCCCTTTACTGTAACAGATCACATATGAGTAGTATGCAATATTATGGAATGTTAAATCTCCAATTACCATACAGAAACCAATAAAACCTATTTTACAGACGTTTATTGTACTCATTTAGTGTTTTGATAAGTGTGGCTTCTTAAGCTAGAAAACAAATCCTGTTTTGAATACAGCATTGAGGCAAGTGAATTCCAACTGGCTGATGTGTGCATCATCAAACCAGGCACTGTCATGAGACAGAAAACTTTGGTTTTAAACATGTTTTGTGAGTATCTAGCCAGACGTATACGGATATGATGATCGCAGTCCTGTCTCTGCCCACTTCTTTGGGAATTCCCACAAAGTTTATAAGGACTTGAGAATTTGGGGAATTATTGGGCCATCTCCTCTCCCCTCACTTCTGCAAACCTTCTCGGGGATTAAGATTTGTAATATTCTGGCTGATTGCAGTTTGTTCTTTATTTAGAATTGCAGAAGTGAGTTGCACAAGCCTCCTTATTTTTGCAGGTTTCGTACCTTCACTACTGCTTAGTCCTTGCTGCATTTAACCTTTCATTGAAAAACGCAGCTAGCTTTTCTGTAAGGAACTCTTATCTGTGTAACAGCTCAAGGTAAGCCTGAAAGAAAATTTTTAAGGCAGACAGTGGAAACTTGGCTCCCCCCACACCTGACATTCTTAGGCAACTCTCTCCTTTGAAATTAATTACTACTTTTAATCATGTGCAGAACATTCTAATTTTAGCAATTTGCAACAAGTACATCAAGTACCTCTCTAATAAGAGACCTTCCATTTCTTTCTGCAAACCTGCAGCCTTGTTTCCTCCAGCCTGTGCAATACTACAGTTATCCATTTATTGGTGAAAATCACCAGTCGCTCCCAGCAACAGTTAATTTTGCTCCTACAAGGCCATTTGGCATTTCATACTAAGTTACTTTGTCTTCGACTCCGCTGCCAGCGCGGCCTCTTCCCGCCACTTGGCCTTCTTCGCCAGGTTCCAGCTTGTTAAGGACTCGTGGCGTGCAGCAGCCTGCGGAAGTAAAACAGCGATGTAAGAGCTGTGTAGCAGGAGCAGCGACGCACCCCGGGGAAAGCTGCCCCATCACGGCAACAGCCAGCAACTACTCGCACGTCGTCGGCGGTGGAGACAGCAGCAACGCGGGTTAGAAAACTGGGTGCAAGCCACTGCTGCTGAGGTTTGTCCGCTTTTCGCAGAATTGCATCGTTTTTAAGCAGGGTGCGGACTGGCTGGCTAGCGGTGTACTCACCTTTTTAGCCGAGGCAATCACTGCAAAACAGGCAACAACGGAGAGTCCGATCATGATGTAACAAGCTTTAACTCGAGCTTTGTTTCTTGCCCTGTCTAGCATCTCCGGCCTGCAATTAGAGGGATTGAATTGAATCATTACAAAACTGTCAAGTACATCTTCTTCAAAGCATTGCGGACATAACATCGCCACTGAAAAACAAAAACAGAATTAGCTCTCAAATGGGCATCTTCAGCTTGCTGATTGGTTATGTACCACCCAAGAACTTTGTGTCCGTTTCCAGTGGAGAAACAGCATTTAATGGACTGAAGCTGATCTTTTTTTTTTTTAAGCTGGAAAAAAAGATTGCTCATGCAATAACTATTTGCATTTAAATGAGTGGAGTAAACACACCAGAAGTCATACCTGAAGCTCTACTTAAGCACAGTGAACATTAAGGGGGTTTATCGATTTTAAACAGCTGGAGTCACAGTGTGGTGTCAACCAGATGTGGTGAAAGCAAGTTCCTTTTATTCGAAATGAACTCCAGAAATTGACTACTCCCGTATCTAACCTGTTTAGATGGCATCCCGTATACTGCAGGGGAGGGGCTTTACCTGCTTGGGTGGGTGGTTAAAACAGAGTTTGTCCTGCTACGAGCTAGAGTTTTAGTTCTTTGGAAGAGCAGTGGCTTTAAATAAAGTGGGCAGCGGAGGTCAGCCTTCTCACTGCTGCAGGAACGCACTCCTGAACAACAACAATCTACGTGATTGTTTTTGCTGGTCATCAAAGGCAAAAGTAGTGAAAACTTGTGCCTGGCGTTTGGCAGGAGCTGCTGCAAGGGGCACCGTGAGGCCCGGCAAACTGCACTGGTCCGGCTCCCGCTGCCCCGTCCTGCGCCGGGAGCAGGCTGCGTTACCCTTGAGGGGCAGCCCTGCAGGAAATCTCCGTGTTGCCAAAATCGTCCCAAAACTTTCAGCTAAGTCTGCTGCTGAGCCAGGTGCTATGCTTGGGAGTGCAGTTTTTAAGATGCCCGTTCATTACAAGGCTGGCTGCGTGCTGTTTTCGTTTCATAAACCACATGGGAATGCTTTATGTGTATAAAGATACATATTCATAAGAAACAGAATATAAATATACACAGCATGTAGTTATTGTTTTATACATAGTCAGAGAAGGACTTGGGGGTGCTGGTGGATGAGAAGCTCAACACAAGCTGGCAACGTGCACTTGCAGCTCAGAAAGCCAACCCTATCCTGGGCTGCAACAACAGAAGAG